TAAAATATAAGACGGACGAGTCCACTGAACCAATTCTAACTTGATACCATTGCCTTTTTTTTGGTTGTCTTCTCTTGAAAACCTTCTTTTTATTTATATCTTATTTAATTACTAACATAAATACTCTTAATTTATTCATTCACCTTTAATTTTATTCTATTCTCCTTTTCCTCCAAGTAAATAATAATATTATTATTGCAATGTCTTCTGTGCCTTCTGTACAACAAATTACTTCTAAAGAGATTCTCATAAAAAAGGCAAATTCTGGTACATCCATACCAGCAAATTATAGTACAACACCTTCAGGAACAATCTATTCTAATACACCTGGAGGTCAGTTAGTATTTAAAAGTTAAAAACAAATGTAAATGTATATAGCATGATTGCATAATAATAATCAGATAATTTTTAATTTAGGAACGAAGATAATTTATGATCGTAATACTTTACTTAATTTAGCAAATTCTCCACTTGCAAAAACTCCAACTAAATTAGCATACATTCCTGGTGTTACTATCCCACAAACAACAGACCAAGATTCTTCTGAAAAAAATGACTCCAACAATAACAAAAAATTGAATAGAGTTGCTGGTCATTTGGCACCACCTAATTCTAATTATCCTGGTTTTAAAAACATTTTGGTTGATTCCAATCAAAATGGTAACATTAGCAGTGGAAGTGAAAGTGGTGATGAGGAGAATACACCAGGTAAATATTAATAATATATTAGTATTTAATGTATGTAATATTTGATTAATTAATAAATATTATTTTACATATAGAACATAAAGATAATCATGAACATGGAGTATTTGATATGGATATGGAATAAAAATGTAGATGAATTAATTAATTGGATAATATTCATGTAGATGATTCTGATGAATTAATAATTTATTAATATTATTACCATCCACTTTCTAACACTACTAATGATGATCTTATATTAAGAAAAAATTATAGAAAAATATGTAAAAAGTTATAATTCATTGAAATATAATAATTTGTAAAGATGCTATTGTCGAAATTTTGAAAATAAAGTTAGACTCATTATTTCATTAGATTAATAATTAATTCTAAATTAATTTCATTATATATGACTAAACGACGTCTTTATATACTCTACATCAGGGTATGATAAACACGACGCCATTTTTAACATTAAACAATACGTGGTGTTGTTTGACGCCTTGTTAAGTGTTGTAAATTTATTATAAAAATTTTTCCATTAAAATTTTTTCTACACAATTTTATAATATTTAAAGTGTTTATATTAGAATTTAATATAATCATGTATTTTTCCGCAAAATCATCCAATTTCTAAATAAGGATAACACGCACCCAACCCACCAATAAAATTGGATACTTTCATGATGCTGCGCAAATTTGCGGATGTTTTTTGCGGAAAAATACATGATTTTGAATTACAGACAATTAAACATTTTAATTTTAAACTTAAATTTTACAAGTATAAAAAAAGTATATATTGTTATTTAGTGTTTCGTATATTTTCATGTTTCTAATTATCCTTTTTTTATACTACTCTCAAAATGTTTTAGTTAAAATATTAAAGACAAAGGTGTAGCTTTTGTAACATATAAAAGTCCGCTTAATGCAGAATTTGCAAAAGAAGCAATGACAAATCAAAGTTTAGATCATAATGAAGTGAGTGAATTCTTCAAAAATTTTATTTTTAATATTAATGGTATTAAAAGTCACTAATAATTAGTAATAATATTATGGTATTAGATACTGAATGTAAGATATGATGAAATATTATAATCTTTATTTATTTACAATATATATATATAGCTTGCTATTTTGTTATTTAATATATTTTAATATTAATGATTAATAATTACTAAAAATGCTTTTAGATGGGCAACTGATGATCCTAATCCTCGTGCCAAGGAAGAGTATAAATGAAAGGCAGAAGCCCTTGCTGTACAAGCAATACAAAAAAGTTTACCTGTTGAATTTTCTTTAGGGGGTCATGAATATTTTAACAAGAAACCTCGCATAACCACCACCACTGATATTGATTCAAATCAAGATTTTTATGGCTTAGAAGGTTATGAAAACCCTTATGGAATAATTAATACTAATGCTACTACTATTAATGATAATGCTAGTTCAACAGTTTCAACTATGGTAGAAACTATTTTACCTACAACAACTACAGCTACAACTGTTGTGTATAATGAGCAACAACAACAACCATTATTAGCTCTTGATTCAACAAAAATTGACAATGATTATTATAATAATAATTATGGTTTACAGCAGACATTACTTACACAACCACTTCTTAAAAACTCCATAGTATCTGCAGAAACACTAGAAATCTAAAGATTCAAGAGGATTTAATTCTTCTATTAATTCTAGGCAAACTAATGAAGTTTATAATGATAAAAAATTAGATAAAAAAGAGAACAAGTCAGCATTAGCAGGGTTAGCAGATTATGGAAGCAGTGATGATGATGATGATGATGATAATGAGGAGGAAGAGAATGGGAAGGAAGAAGTAGTGATAGTAAAGGAAAAAGAAAAAGAAAAAGAAAAAGAGAAAGAGAAAGAAAGGGAGAAAGGAAAGGCAAGAAAAAAAGTAAAGGAAGAAAATGAAGAGAAAGTAAGGCCAATAAGGAAAAGCACAAGGAAGAAAAATTAATTAAATAGCTAATTTATACTTGATTTTCAATGTAAATATATTTATTTATGTTAAACTAATAACTTCATATTACCTATCAAGTTAATGTTATTTGTTCAACATCAAGTTTTAACATCGTTAATATCAGAACAACCAAATTATTTGATTTCACTTTTAAATTTTGATATTGATCTAATACTAATCAATTTTTCCTTGACAATATGATCCTTTTATAAGTTTTCATAGGTTAGTAGGAAAGTGCAAATAATCCTGTTCGCTATTACTATCAAAGTTCTTTCAACTAAATTTTTTGTATTTTGTGTCACAACATAAAATAAAAAAATATTATTCACGAAGTCATCAATTAGTATTAGTAAAATTTGAGACATTTTTCCTCTGCCGATCCTTATTTAGAGTTCAGTGTCTAAAATCTAGTGTTACCTGTTAAGACCTTCCTTAACCAGTAATTAACGGATTACCAGATGAAAAAAATCTGAATCACAAAAAATCATCATCTAGAAACAACACTTTTTTTTTTAATATGTTCAGGCTTATTAATCATACATTTCCTAATAAGCTTTTCCCTTCTAAATGTTTTTTTCAAGCATTACCATCCCCTGTTAGGATCGTTGCCTTTCATACAGGTATAACATATTCATTTAATTTTTCTTGCAAGATAATTAAGATGATTTCTATTATTAGGACATACCCATTTATTTCAAAATCCTAAAACCGGTAAGTTTTTTAATTATTTGATTGTTCTTGATAAATAAAATTGTTATTATTATTGTCAATTCATATCCATATTTATGTATATTTATGTAACAAGATCTATCCAAACTCGATCCAATTCTGGACGTTGAAAAGCCGTTCATCACTCCACCATCACTACCAACATATCGTTCATCATCAACAATAGTTTCACCAGAAGCTGAATCCGACGATACTGACATCTTAGCAGCGTTGACAGGTCTCACTGCTCAAGAAATAAGGGCTTTACAAAAAAAAGTTTTGATTGTCAAACGTGTAGTAAACCAAACATCAAAAGGTCGTATATTTAGTATGTATTCATTGGTGGTGGTGGGTAATGGTAATGGATTGGCAAGTTATGGTGAGGGTAAACATGAAGAAGCTGCAACTTCTGTAAGGAAAGCTACAAATCAAGCAATTAAAAACCTACAATATTTTCATCGATATAATGACAGAACCATTTATCATGAGATTCAATATAAATTTCATAGTACTAAATTAAAGTTAATGGTTAGACCTCCAGGTATATCTATTCATCTTTCGTTCATCTATTTATTTATCCTATTTATTTATATTTATATAATAATATTTTTTATAGGATTTGGTATAAGAACAAATCATTACATACATGAAATATGCAAATGTGTTGGTATACATGACTTAGCGGCCAAAGTTTTGGGATCACGTAACGGAATGAATGTTGTAAAAGCTACTTTTCAAGCTCTTGAAACTCAAAAATTACCTGAAGATTTAGCAAAAACAAGAGGGAAAAAGGTTGTGGATCTTTATCGTACTTATTATGGTGTAGAATGAATGAATGATTGATTAAATGTAAATATATTAATAAAAAATGGATTATTTCAATATTTGAATATGGATATTTCCTAATACACAGTGAGTCTCGGTATAACGGATATGTTTGTTCCAGGAAATTTATCCGCTATACCGAGTCATCCGTAATACCGAGATATCCATAAAAAATCAAATTTTTGATTAAATCATGTGATACATATTGCGTAAATAATTTTATTTTTAAATAATATGAATGCAAATAATAATGATGATAATAAAAATACATTTGGTAAAAAATTTTAAAAAAAAACAATTCATTCACTTAAAACGTTGACATTATAATAATCTTCCATTATTGTTTGCACTTGTTTTAATTTCAAACATTTTCTTCAGGCCAAATTTAGATATGATTGTCGAGTCTTGTCTAAATTTAGCAATGATCCTAAAGTATATACATGACTTAAAAAAGAATAGACAAATAATTTTTGAGAAAATTTCTCTATTACATTAAAATTAAAGACCTATTCCATCAACTAATAGAACTATTTTTTTAAAAGGTAGGACAGAAAATGACTTTTATACTTTTAAAATTTGCACAAAATTTAGGAGGTCTTTAGACTGAGCCAACTATATTAACTTTGATGGTATTTCTGAATTATTACTCGAGGTTTTTCTTTGACTAATGATTGAGCTTGAGTTGTTTAATTTCTAAATTCCTGTTGCTTGATTCTACTTGGTAAGTTTCTTTTCTGAAAAATTTATTTATTTATATAAATAGCTTCTCTCCATTATATGTAGGAGTGATTGGTGGTCAATTTTTAGCTCTCAATTCCTCTTTCGATCTTTGTTGAGGTCGATTGATTAAGATATCTTTCTCGGTTATTGCTGATTGTTTAGTCTGATTTTTCGAGGCAAGTTCTTGGAATTGTCGACAAATAGTATAGTGTTATTAAGATTATCAATCTGTCCTTGCGAACTTGCCATGTAAACGATTAGGATGTTTTTGTGCATTAATAAATTAATCAAGTTCTACGCGAAAGATATCTTTGTTTTGAAGCAAGATTGCTTATCTTTGTTCTCTATCACAACCTGAAGTAAATTTTGATTTCTGAAGCTTCTTAAAGCGTTAACCAAATTATTCTCGGTTGTTGTCTTTGTATTTTGTTCAGGATTCTCTTTCACTAGATTATTTGCTCTTATGTTTGATGAAGTTTATGCTATTTTATCCTTCGGGGTGATGGAGCAATTTAATAAAGTTGACATTTTTTTTTATCCTTCCAAGCTTGAATTCTTCTCTTTAAGACTCAATTCCTTGGGGTGCCCATTTCAATCTATCAGGAGTTTCTGACTCTCTATTGTCCAATGCTCACAGACAAGAACAATTTTACTCTCTCATTATGTCGGCTTTTACCTTGCTTACTAAACTTGCAATTATGATCCTTTTGCAGAAAATTCTCGAATAGATCAGACAGACCTTTATCCTTTTGTTTCTTCAAAAGAGTATTTGTTTTAATTATACTTTTTTTATATTTTATTGACTATAATTTAGCTCAATCGCCAACCTAATAAAATTGCGGGTACAGATATTTTTTGTAGGTTATATTTTTATTAATTTAATTTATTTTTACATTTCATAAAACAATGAGAACTATGATCCATTATTGGAAAGTAGCAAGTACTCGCGTATAATATTCATTATTAGGGCATCAAAACTAGGAAGCACTTTATCAATAAAATCCGTGGAAGTTATGGGCAATCTTTTCAAGAAATATTATGCAGTATAATCATTATATTTTTGTAATGTGGTAAACGTAAATAGAAAACGGGCGCACTAAATTGATACCTGAAATTTCTTTGTGACGTAATGTTCATTTTGTCTAGTATGCCCTCTTTACTATTACATTTTAAACAAAAAATAGTTAAAAGAACTCTTATTTTGTATATATTTAATATTTTGTATATATATAAATTTTTTTTTATGATAGTCATAATAATAATAATAATAATAATAATAATAATTAATCATCAAATCTTTTTTTTTTCAATCATTCACCAACTCTTTATCATCATCATTATTGACATCATTATTACTAATACTAATACTACTAACATTCATACCATCATCACTATTGTGATTGTTATGATTACTAACACTAGAGGAACCACTAGCGCCAAGATCATCACTGCCAACATCCACATTGATGGTATTGGTCTTGGCACTAGCAGTGCCAGTATTTTGTTCCTCCAACCATTTAGCATATTTTTCTAGTCTGGTAGCTTCTTCTTCGTCTGTTTCATTGGATTTCGAACCAGTTTTTTGATACTTTTGTTTTCCATCAAATATTTCTGCCTCGACACGACGACCAGCAAAAAATCGCCCATTCATTTTCTGTATTATTTTATTATAATAATAAAGATAATAATAATAATAATAATAATAATAGAGATTATCACAAGTAGTCGTAGCTACAATGACCATAAAAATTATAATTGCTAATAATAAATACCAGTACGCATGCTTCAGCACTAATTTGATCTTTAAATTTTACTGAAACAATTCCTTCGGGTTCTTTCTATTAAAAATAAATGTTCGATTGATTAATTGATCGATAAACCCATTCATCCATTCATTCATCCCCAAGAAAACTTACATCATACAATACAACGTTCGTTACTTCTCCTAATTTCTCACACTCATTGCGAATGTCTTCCTTTAAATCTAAAATTGAACCAACATCATTCTAATATATTAAAATAAATGTTATTATTATATATATATATACATACATATATATACATATATATCTATTAATCGTTTTATTAGACTTTAAATAATAAGAATTATTATTATAATGATGATGATAATGATAATGATAATGATGATGATCATATCATATTTACCTCCAATTCTTCTATGGTAAACATATGTTTCAAGATTGCTATCTTATTATAACGTTCTGCCCTTTTTCCAGGTTCAGTTTCATTCCAATCTAATTTCCTATAAAATATATAATATAACAAAAAAAAAACAATAATAATAATCAACAAACCATTTTTTTTTCTTTAAATAATAGAGAGATATATTTTTTTTTACTTTCTTTAAGTAAAATAATTCATACTTTTCAAGTTGACGAAGTTTTTTCTTTACTTCATATTTATCAACTTTTTTGGAATTACTTTGACTACTTTCTAATATTTTAGGATCTTTTTCTTTAAATTCAGCCTAAACACAACAAACCAAGAATGAAAAAAATAATTACGCGTATATACATACATACATACATACATATATATATATATCTTACTTTTTGAACACGTATTTTATAAGGTTCTTCGGGTCTCAGTATAGTTTCATCTAACAATTGACATGCTAGTGTGACAGACTCTTCTTTCAAATAAGTTACAAGTGCATCTCCTTTAAGATGACCTTGATCATCCTTATAAAGTTTAATCTTAGGTTCACCTATATAAACATACATACGTATATATATACGCGCATATATATAGTTAATAAGTTATAAACTGTTTAAATAATACTTCCAAAAATTGTTCTAAAGATCTATAATGTAATTATGATAATTACCAGTAGCCAGATCTACCATTAATACTCCATACTTTGAACAAGCTTCTGCCAATTCATTTTCAGTGACATCAACTGGTAAATTACTGATATAGATAGAAGTGTTTATAGGTTTCTTCTTTTGTTTTTTGGAATCTTGCTCAGGCTATTTATTATTGTTTGTTGTTTAACATTGTTAGTATTGTTAGGGTATGCGTGTGAGTAAACAGAAATAAATACTATTACTTACTTCGCTCATTGTGTAAACTTTTTTCCGTTTAACTCCTCGTTTTAAAGAATCCATCATAATTTTTTGAATTGTAGATTAAAAATGCGAAAGTAGCAAAAAAAAATTTTTTTCTAAAAAGTATTGCCCCTCAATTGTAAAAAAATGACCCCAAATTTTATTTGCAAGCAATTAAAAAAATCCAAATCCAAAAATAAAAAATATTAAATTGGAAAAATAAAAATATCGAGAGTGAGAAGTGGAAAGACGTAAAAAAAAGGATCAGATGTCAAAGGTCAAAATACACTAAAAACTATATTTGAATTTTTATTCATTAATTATTTCATATAACACTAAAATTTTTAATGAACAATTTGTACATTGGGTTATATTTATACTATTCTCTAGATCGTCTTCACTAATAACATAAAGTCCATTGCATCTACATTTTGTTGAATATGATTTATTTTCTAAATTAGAAGATAAAAATATAATTGTAAATATAATTAATTGTAAATATAATTTCATTCATTCATTCATTTCACATTACCTTCATCATAAAACATGCTATCCAAATCTACTTCAGAATTGTAAATTTCTGTTTTATTAAAACGATCTTGGGAGAAAATAATAATAAAGAATTAATAATATTATTAACAAAATTATCATTGTTTAATTAATCAATAAATTACCCTTTAACTCTTTATCATATTTATTTTTTAATTCTGAATCCATTAAATATTGATATGCCTCAATTATTCTAGTAATTTCTAATTTACCACCATCACTGCTATCGCTACTACTACTACTACTACTATTATTTGTTGGTTGAATCTGTTTTTTATCTGGATGATACTGTGTAATATTAATATTATCAAAGTTATTATTTATTATTAACATCATAAATCAGGTGTTATAATTTTATACTTACAACTAATAAAAGTTTATGGTATTGTTGTTTGATTTTCTCTGCTGTAGAAAAACATGGTAAATTAAGCAATTCATAATAATTTATAAAATTATTTGACATCTTTTTGAAATTTTTTTGATCATTGATTTTAAAAAAACCGAAGATCTTTTCTTTTAAAGGAAATTTTGTTACTTTATTTAGTAAGACATTTGTTGTTGCAAAAAATTTTACAATTTTACATTCTGGCACAGCGAATTTTCGAATTATGCCACTAGAGTCGTAGATATTTTTTATTACAGTGCGGATCATCTATACTCAAAAGTTAAAGTTTTTGAAATATTATGTGATACATACATTGGATTTTAAAAAACTTACCACCATTCAATTCAGCTTTAAAAGGGGAGTCTATTAATCTAAAAAAAAATTTTCTCGAATTTTCTTTTCATAGATTTTTTAAATTTGAAAGTTATGCTCAGAAGTGCAACAATAATTTTC